AGAGAGTTCAACTCTCACCTAAATATAGTCTTAAATAAATTGAGCACTGGCAAGACTATCAAAGAATTAAAAAAAAAAAAAAAAAAAAATTCTATTCAATAAATAGGGGGTCAAGCTTAAATAAATTTTAAGAAAAAACTTTTTAAAAATAATTTTAGTGAACAATTTTGGCTGCTAGATAGTTTAAAGGATAAGCATTTTAGTATTTGTAACTATATGTTTTTTTCTTTATTTATATAAAGAAAACATATAATTGCAAAGACTAAAATATTTATATTTTGTAATCTACTAGACCAATTTTAACATTTTAACTGCTATTCTAATTACAAAACACTCCTTTACAATTTTACTTAGAAGTTAAAAAGATGTTTGTTTAGTAAAAAAAAAAAAGTTTTTTTTTAAGAAACTTTAAATTTTAAAGACAAGATTTGAGTTTGGGATTTGATTTGAGATTTGGGTTTGGAATTTTAGTTTGGGATTTGGGTAGAATTTAGAATAAGTTTGGGATTTGAGATAGGTTTGGAATTTGGAATTTGGAATTGGGATTTGTCCAGTTTGCTATATGGAATTTATTTGTCCAGGTTTGTCTATAGCCCAATCCCAAATTCAATAGATTTTGCCAGCAAGTATATAGTAGCCTACTATATTATTGTAGACACTTTTTAAAATTTATATAGAGCTAAATATATAAAATATTAAGCTAAAAATTATATTATAACTTCTTTAAATCTATATTTTTTAAATAAAAAAAAAGTTTAAAAAATTCTATACAAAGCTTTTTTTTTTGGGTATTAAAGTGATCTCTCTGGCTGGGAACCACGTGCACCTTTTGAGTGCCTAATTTAAGTAGTCCACCCAAAGGTTTTACACTATCTGCCATACCTGCACCTCAACTAGAGGATACCTATTTAAACCCTCTGGTTCTAACTATTAGTTACTTCTACCTAACCAAGATATAACTTACTATTCAGTTGTAGCTTTTGCAACACCTGTAGATTTTGCACCCACCTTAGGACTTACTAACCATCTAAAGCTAGTCTATTTATGAGGTAAACCTAACAGAGTGGTCTATGTCCTATACATGTATATACCTGCATATTTGGTAACTTCTTATCTAACTAGTACATGTTGTACTGCTATTAACGGGTTCATATCTCAAGCCAACTTTTGGGGTGCTGCCGTAACCTAATTCATATCTCAAGCACAACCTTCCTAATTAGTCACCCATTATGTACTCACTGCCCTTGTAAGGTTCTCAACAACCCCAGTACCCATATTTGGAACTGTTTCCTTACCTGGATTCTCTATCACTCTCTCTTACTTCCAGCTAGCAACCTGGATGGGTCAGTCTGCCCAGGCTTTAGGTGTCTGAAGGACACCCTCCCTTTGGTCTATACTTTCAGAGCATATGCCCTTTTCCTCTAGTGCAACAACTTGGTGATTTAGCTGGTGTATCCTCCACCATAGGACCTGGTCGCTCGGTTCTCCGATCTTGAGCCCCGGTTCGAATTCAGCTCTCCTGTGATACTGTCAAAGATCATTGCTACATCCCAACTTAGGACTTGCCAAACAGGTTTTCAGTTATTCTGGTTTCTCAGATTTATTACACCAAAGCTCCCATTACTAGATGGTGTAACCAAGATTACAGATTAAGATCCAACTGATAATTAGCAACCATTAACTATAATGCAGATCTATTTTTCAAAATCATCGTCCATGGGATTTGAACTCTAGATCTGCCACTTGGGAGAGTGACAACTAACCAACTACACTAAGTCACCACACCTCTTCTATACAAAGCTTTTTGAAATAATTAAGTTTGAATAAAATTTAGATTTTTGTTATTGATATGATTTTCTAAATTTTAATAATAACCTCATAATAACTAGAATATAGTAATATATAAACTTAATTTTTTTTATTAATAAGCTAGCAATTTTTTTTAATAGGCAATTCTCTAGTCACCTGGTTAAAAAATTTTTTTTTATATATAAATTTTACTATAAATATAAATGCACAGCGCCTTTATCTAAAACTTTTTTTATATTAAGTAAATTACTTTTTGGCTTTTAACAAAAGTTATAAAGCTCATCAAAATATATTTAATGTCTTTACAGTATTAAATACATTTTGATAAGCTCTACAACTTTTGTTAGAAGCCGAAGAGTGATTTACTTAGTATAAAAAAAGTTTTAGATAGAGGTGCTATGTATTCACACTTATAGTAAATTTTATATATAAAAAAAAATTTTTAACCAGATGACTGGAGAATCATCTATTAAATAATATTATTTAGCATAACAAACTGTATATATTTTAAAAGTTTAAAAAATATTTGGTAAATTACTATATATAGTAATAACTATATTTGGTAATTTGGTAATTTTATTTTAATAATTTAACTTTAACATTTAATAACAATATTTTATTAAAATTTCTAAAAATTTGAAATTATATATAATTTGTTATACTAAATAAATTTTGCATAATAATTAAGTTTAGAAATATAATCAAAATAACGCATTGTGATTGTTACTACCTCTAATTATTTTTAAAGTTAGGGTTAGAAATTAGAGAATTATTTTTTTTTATATAATATAATATAAAGCTACTATAAGGGCCCAATAGAGCCCAATCTCAATTCTTATAAAGTTTTTTGAGGTCCTAAATATTTTTACTTAGAGAACCTGATTCCGTTTACTTAGTATATTTTTGAGATATAGACACCCTGCTGATGATTACCACTGGTTATAGTTAGATTTATTCTTAAGTTTATTTACTTAATAAAAAATTAACTTTTAATATATAGTAATTATAATAACTAATTTTTAACAATTACTATTTTCATGTTTGTGCAATATTACACAATATTATATAATCTTAATTAATTTTTAGCTTAATATTTTGTATATTTAGCTTTGTATAAATTTTTAAAAAGTATTCACAATAATATGGTAGGCTACTGTATATGTATATATATAATAAAGGCTTTCAGAAATTACGTGATTTTGGGGTAGGTGGGTGGGGTTCCCAAAATATTAGGGTATAATTTTGGTCAAAATTTTATAATTCTAGCCAAAATTATAAAATTATATAATAATAAAATCTTTAAACTTGAATAACTTTTAATCTACTAGGTTTATTTAGATAATTTAACTACCAAAATAATCCTCTCAATAAGAGGAGTTTAACAAGCCCAAAATCATTAAAATCTAATTACAGAATCACAAGATAGAATTTTTTATATTATTTAAATATATGCTATATAAAATAATACAAAATATTATCTATTTTGTAATCTTGTAATTAAATTTTAATGATTTTGGGCTTGTTATAATCCTCTTATTGAGAGAATTATTTTGGTAGTTAAATCATCTAAATAGACCCAATAGATCAAAAGTTATTCAAATTTAAAGATTTTATTTTATAATTTTATAAGGACATTGTAAAATATCGCTATAGCGAAAAATCGCTAGTCCCCTAAAATCACGTGATTGACAAATTAATTATACTTGTGTAACAAACAATTTAATTTATATTGCGCTAATACAAGTATTGGAGTAATATTAAAAGCATATCGAAATATACACTATATAGTATAAATTAACTATATACAGTATGTATGTACATACTATATACGCATATAAAAAAAATAGTTTACTTATGTAAGTTTTATCTAGACCTTATTCTACAAACATGAAAAAATAACTATTTGAGTAATCATCCAACTAACTACTACTTAATACCTGTATGTGTTAGCAAATAAATATAATAAAGTAGCACGATACATAAAACTGCTTCATTTTATATACAATAAATATATAAGTCAAACTTGCACTATTGTTATGACAACAAACCAATACTAAAAGATAACTTCACACATTGACCGAATGATTCTAACTAGATAATATTGCAATTCGAATTTGAGTAACTCTAAATTCGTAATACTGAATAACTTTTCCCAGTATACAGTAATAATACTTTACTAAACAGTGTTGGCCTATGACCTTAAATGACCTATATGACCTTTATGACCTGTCATAGGTCATTTGGTCATAATGAAAATTGATATGACTTATGACCTTTTTTAATATAGTAAAATCATAATAAATATATTTTTTTATTAGTATTTTAATATGACCAGATGACTATGACCAAAAGTCATATGATTATATGACCAAGGTCATATAGGAAAAAATGGTATGACATAGGTCATCGGCCAACACTGTTACTAAATGCCTTTATAGATGGCAGGCATATAAAATACTATAATAAAAATGTTACTCACATGATAGAAAAAATTGTTAGTGCAATAAAACATAACTTTTAGTTTGAATAAGCAATGAATTTCAAATTTTGTCAAAGCTTGATGATTACCAATGCAGCATTCTATGATGTTATAAAATTCTATATATGTATTGGTAAATCAAACTTTGACTATACATAAACTATTGAAATATTACATCTCTAATTATTCACACATTTCCTTGCAATTTTTTTGATAATGCCCAACATTTTCGCATTTTTTACATTGATGTTGTTGCTTTGTTTTGGGCTTGACAACTTCATGAGACGACTTGAGTCTTTTAGTGCCCGGTGGACAACCTCTGCCTTTACACACTTTTGGATTTTGTAAATAAGAATTTACATTCTTTTTATCAACATAATTATCATTACTTTGCTGGCTTTCATTATCTGAATCTGATATATCATCGAGATCAACTTCTTCAGTAAAATCTTGGAGCAAATCGATTAATTGTTAAGATTTTGACTTATTTTGTAATGCTTTATTTAAAGCCTTCTTATATACACTGTGAAGTTTTCTATAAATGATCCTTTGCTCAAGTGTTGTCAGATTTTCTTCACGAAAGTCTGCTCTTTCTTGTCTAAAAAGATATAAATAAGGAACTGGTAAATCATTTGGTAAGATTGATATATCTTGAGTAAATTTATCTGTAACCAAAAATGGCTCTTCAGACCCAGTATCATTAGCCGAATACCAACAAGAAGGTAACATTCGAATATGGAACTTTGCATTACAAGTTGTTAGCATCAATTGGAAATAATATTTACACACGATACCACATTGGATAATAGAAAGACAGGAACATAGGTACGAATTATTTTGTAGCAACAAGACATAATGCTTAATATTTGATGAATTCCCAATGTTTATAGTCCAAAATTCTTTAATATTATCTGGCCCAATGAATTTAACTATTTGCTTGAGTGTAGCTTGTGGTTCGTCAATTGATTGTTCTTAAATAATTATTGACTAGTTCTCCTATATTGCATAAAAATAAATGCTTATGTTAACTAGATTAGACCAGAATATCTTTAATATTATAGGTTTACCTCTTCATTATCTTGTTGATAAATTCGATTAGCAGTATAGTAAACTGACTAATTTATCTCATCGTGTTGCATTTTCAGAACATTAGGTTTAAGGTATCACTGAAGACACAGATCAACTTCAGTAAATAAAAAATTTACTTTTTCTTAATTTCGAACATTTGGTATTGCAGTATGCCAAAATCTACATTTAGAAGCTAAATTGTTAACAAGAAATATTAAATATAACATTATTAATCGAATGCTTCTTGCTATTAATATTTACCTATACTCATTTTCCTTATCCTCAAGATCAAGTAATTTATGTATTTCCACTGCGAGTTCATACAATGAGACATTTGAATTATGTAATAAATTTTTCAAACATCCATTAACTGATTCAACACAGGACATGACAATCATGCCACCTGTAAATTTGTATTTAATAAAACAGTGTGCCCAATGGCCCTTTGACTTGTAAAGATATTCCAAATAACTTTTAGCATTAGAGTATTTTTCTATAAGACTATCAAAATTTTGCTGAAAAACTTCTTTAGATAAACTATTTTTACAACAATAAAAATCACTAAGAAAATGTTGATAATTTTCACCCAATATTTTCCTAAGATTTTTGTATAAATTCTGGCTTATATGAAATGCACAATAGATAGGATATATTGATGTAAACACTTGGCAGATTGCAGAATCGACTGCAGAATCTGCATCAGTTAATATTACTGATGGTTGGACATTAGTAACTTTAATTATTTGCTCAAACATTTATTTATGCGATTTGATACTTTCATCAATTAAAAGTGCTTGCGCCAATAGAATATTTTGCCTGTTACTATCAAATCCAATGAACAAAGACAAGGCCATTTTGTACCAATTAGTCTTATATGTTACATCGTTTAATACACAATCAAAGTACTGGATCTAATTTTCTACTTGTATTGGCGTCATCCAAAGTAGACGTGTTAAAGTATTGTTATCATCCCAGTCTCTAACAACAACCCAACGTAAATTAGTATCCTTCTTCTAGTCTAACCAATTTGAGATCTAGAATAATAATTTATATTTGAGTTACAATTTATAAGTAAGGATCATTTCATAATAATTACTTTACTAATTTATAAAGCAATTGTCAGTGAAATAAATACGGTTTGCAAATAAAATAGGTTTGTTATTTGTGCTGCATCATTAGACAATGTCTTACTATTAGGACGAAACTTTTGTATAGCGGCATATAGATCTTTCGAATAAATTGGCTGCATAGGATACTTTCCTTCAAGAAATTTACGTTGTACTATAGCTCCAAATTTGCAATATATAGTCATAAATCTAATATCTTCTAACATTGTATCGCTAAATTTCTTCATGTCTTCAAATTCAATTCTTTTTGGATTCAGTAAATGATTATGTTGTTTAACAATTTTATTAATAATTATAGAATCCTCTGGATTGTTAATTTTAGGATTAGCAACATTAACTAAGAATTGACATTGTGTTTTTTTTGTATTCATATCTTTTACTGAATTTAATTCATAGACACAACCATATTCACATATACAAGTTCTTCGTTGCACAACACCATTATCACGTTAAACACAATCCTTAATTATACAAAATTCTTGAAATTTCGCTCATTCATTGAGAAAAGATTCATAACTCCCATGTAGCAAATTTTTTTCCAGAATATAAAGATGTTCGGTCAGTATCATTTTGATTTAGTAATTCTTTATGTATTCGTAAATAATCTGTATTATAGCTTGATTCAGAAGAGCCATCAGTATAAAGAAATTCACTTTCTTCAAATTCATTAATCATAATCAAAACAAAGGCTAGCAATAACAATTGATAATAGAAAGAGCAAGAATTTAAAGAGTCTAAAAGTTATGAGCACTGTGATAAAAAAATTATCGTGCTAAACAATAAAAAAAACGTAAAGAGCTAAAAAGGTAAATAGCTAAAGAATAAAACAGTACTAACAATAATTTCAACGTCAAACAAACATGACCACAATAAAGTGAATGTTTTGAGTATAACTTTAATAAGGTAGGTAACAATAAAAAAATTCTTGCAAAGAACTCGAATCTGAACTTAACAACAATATAACATAAATAAAACCGAAAGTCAACAATAATTCAATGTCAGATATACGATAAAAGGATATAAAGAGCTTAACGACAATGTAATATAAATAGATAGATGCTGAAAAGTGCAAAGAACTCAACAATAATTCAACATTAGAGAGGGAGTGTAAAGAGCTTAACAACAACGTAATATCAATAAAATAGGTGCCAAGAGATGTTATTTGTGAAAATTTTTGCAAAAGAACTCAATAATTATTCAAGAACAAATATACAATTAAGAGAACGTAACAATGTAAGGTTGATACAAAAAGGCAAAATAATGTTTACTATTTTTTTGTACTTAAGCAAAAGAAAGAAGTTCGATCAGAAGTGATCAAACTTAAGTATTTATTTATCAAATATTGTTTGTGTCATCATGTAGCCATCAAAATATGTCATTAAATATTTGTATTACCATCGCATTGTTTATCATTTTGTCATGTGTAACAATAATTGAAGGTATAGCAATATATTACATATACAATAAATTATGATATCCATTTTATAATTCTGGCCAAAATTATAAAATTATACTGTATAATAATAAAATCTTTAAACTTGAATAACTTTTGATCTACTAGGCCTATTTAGATAATTTAACTATCAAAATAATTCTTTTAATGAGAGGATTTTAACAAGCCCAAAATCATTAAAATCCGATTACAAAATAGATAATATTTTGTATTATTTTATACAGTATATATTTAAATAATACAAAAATTATCTATCTTGGAATCTTGTGATTAGTTTAAGGGTAGAGGGTATGTAGATCATTTTGTTATATGATTTTGGTGGTACAATAAGATTTATATAGAAATTGATAATGTGCTACTAATAAAACTTTTTACGGTTGTAATTAATTTTAGCCAAAATTTTATAAAATATAAATAAAATAATTTATCTATTATAGTAAAATTTTGAACTATTATATCATTTAAAAAAAATATACTTATATATCACAAACTTTTTCTGGGTTGGCTCAAAATTTTTTGGAGTTACACAAAATCGACAAATTTGGTTGGCTAGTCTATATGTTAATTTAATTAATAAATTTTTATATCTAATCTTTAAAAATTTATATCTCACTAAGTTTTTAACCAATTTTAATGATTTTAATACCATTAGAATTAGAAAAACCCACTCTACAAATATTTCTTAAGAATTAAAATTAGTTTACTTAATACAATTTTTTATAAAATTAAATATAAAAAAAATTTGCCATTAAGTTTATATATAATTTTAAAATAGTACTCTTTACTCTTAATAATTTTGGGCTTGTGAAATTCCTTTTATTGAGAGGATTATTTTGATAGTTAAATTATCCAAATTGGTCCAATAGATCAAAACTTATATAAATTTGAAATTTTTTTTTTTTTTTCCGGTATTAAGATGACCTCTTTGGCCGGGAAACGTTTTATTAAATAGTTATGTTTTTCAATTACAGTAAGGGTATATATAGCCACACATGCACCTTTTGAGTGCCTAATTTAAGTAGTCCGCCTGAAGGTTCTACACTATCTGCCGTACCTGTACCCCAACTAGGGGGGTACCCATTTAAACCCTCTGACCATAACCTACTTCCAAACCAATGGATACTACCTAACCTGAGGCGTAGCTTACTATACACAGATAGTTCACTATTGCCTAATCTGATTTTGCACCCACCTTAGGACTTACTAACCCCAATGAAGCTAATCTATTCACGAGGTAAACCTAACAGAGTGGTTTACATCCCACACGTGTATTCACTTGCATGTTCAGTAATTTCTTTCCAATTAGTACATATTGTCTGCTGCCATTGTGTTCATATCTCATGCCACCTTTTGGGATGCTGCCGTAACACAATCCATATCTCAAGTACAACCTTCCTAATTAGTCTTCCGTTACGTACTCCTGCCCTTGTATTGGTTCACAACAACCCCAGTACCCACATTCGAGCCATCTCTTTACCCAGATTCTTTATCGGTCCATCCCTAACTTCCAGCCGGCAACCCGGAAAGGTTGGTCTGCCCAGGCTTTAGGTGTCTAAAGGACGCCCCTCCCTTGGTCTATACTTTCGGAGCATATGGCCTTTTCCTCCGGTGCGTCTAAACTGACAGTTCGGCTGGTGTGTCTCTCTACTAAAGGACCTGATCGCTCGGTTCTCCAATCTCGGGCCCTGGTTCAAATTCAGTCTTCATGTAGTACTATCGAAGATCACTGCTATCTCCAAACTCAGGACTTCCCAAACAAGCTTCGATCTCCGGTCCTGTAACCTGTGCCAAGCAAAGCCCACAAATTACAGCCTTTCGGAATCACCTCAACGATGCCACCAGACACCATCTCGACAGATTCTCCATGGGCCAACCTTAGTGAAGATCGTCGCAGACTTTTTCCATATTACAAAAGCGCTGTCCCTGGAATTTGAACATAAGATCTTCCCATAACGTTTGGTGAGGGTGACAACTAGACCACTTCACTAAGTCGCCACACCTCATATTTGAAAATTTTTATTAATTAATATTATTTAAAATTTTTATACAATTTGATTGGCTAATAAAATATCAGGTGGGTGGGTGGGAATGAAATTTTAAAATTTATTAATAACAAAATATTATGTAATTTCTGAAAGCCCCCTAATACAAGCAATAGAGAACTATTATTAATAAAATTTAAAAATAGTAAAAATAGTATAGAAAATTTGCCAAAAATTAAAAATTTGAGTCAAATTTGTCTCAAATACAGTTTAAGGAATACTATATTCAATATCCAATATTTAAGATTGTTTAAAATTATTCAAGTTTATATTTCAAGTTTAAATAATTAATAAAGTAATTTAAATATATTTATAGAATTTATTTAAAATTTACCGGCGTGAAATTCACTGGGCTAAGAATTGTTAGAGTTAGGTTAGGGTTAGGGTTAGAGTATTAAAAATTTTTTTTTTATATAAAACAACATAGAGCTAATAAAAGATCCCGATCTTAGTTTTTATGAGGTTTTCAGGGGTTCTAAACATTTTTACTTAGAGTACCCGATTCTGTTTATTTAGTACATTTTTGAGATACAGCACTTCGGTGAATTTCATTTCTGGTGAGCGTTAAAATCGTCTATAATTATATATTTTTTTAGATACTAGATTTATTTATAATAAAATTAAAATAGATTATTTTAATAAAATTTTAAGTAATTTTAATTTGAAAAAATATTTAAAATTGTCTAAAATTGTTTTATATACAACACTACTATGAGATATCAAAAAAAGATAAACCAATATAATTACTTTTTTTTTTTTTTTTAAGCAATCCTGCCTTTATTCATATAAACTGTTATATAATTTTTACACCCAAGTGTACAAAATTCCTACAACTTATTGTTCTAATTCAATAAAGACTCACCAAGCACAAATGCCCAATGTGATCTGCTATAACAACTGTTTGTCTACTCAGAGATCATGAACTAATTCATGATTTCGTATCCCAAAGAGTACCCCCTCTTGATTACGGACTGGCCGTTATATACCTCATTAGGATCACCAACCTTTCTTCCAACTTTTTCTGCCAAAATCCAGACAGAATAACTATCTTCTACTCTTCTATAAGCAAGAACATATATGCTACGTTTACGAAAGACCAAAAATATTTAGAAGAATGAAAGAAAAATCGAAACCAAAAAACCACAAAAATAAACTATCCTAAATATAATTCCATCATAAATGGACTAGCAAAAAAAGTAAAAAAAGAAAAGTCAGTGATCCCGATAAGAAAAAAGAAAAATGTACTATTATAACCCATGTCAGATGAGTATAAAAATTATATGCACCTAGCAACATTGCATATCTCTATTGTAAGGCTTCGCCTATACTATTAATTTCTCTGACCCTACTATTTCTAGAAGTCTTCACTTGAGTTCTTCTAATCAGGTACTGTCATTGTCCCGCACCAACTCTTTAGTCTTCTGTGGCCCCGAGCCAAAACTGGTAGCACCATGTTCTTTTATGCCAGACACGTGATTGCTATCTACCATATTAGCCAGATATGGGAATGTAAAACACCATGTAATCTATGCTGATCATTTAAAGGAGGTAAGCCAAATCTCTACTTTTTGTCGAAATTTTTGGAAAATCAGCAGCAATGAGAGAGTGTAATAAAAAAAACCACTTGTATAAGATAAAAAAGTGCGGCTTGAAACCAAAAAGTCTTAAAGTTTACTGTACCTCTGGGTTCTCAAGGAGTCCTAAAGGCTTTGCTAACAGAATTTCTTTCACCAAAATTTATATGCAATAGCGAGTGCCATCTGCATTTTCCTCCTTTGTATCTTTGCTTCTGGCTTGCATGTTAGATATAAAGAGGAGTCCCGAAACAGTCATTGACCTTTCTAAAAACAACCAAGACACCTCTCAAACTATAGTCTACAAAACTTTGTCGACAGTAATGAAAATATTATCAGAATTATACTTCACTTTGTGCAGGGCGCCACCTGTGCGCAAACTATATCGCTTTACTCTTTACAAATCCAGTTTTCAGCTTCTGGCTTGTATGCCGAATGTAGCAAGGAGTCCACTATGATCTTGCTACAAACCATCCTGTAGCTATACGACTCTCCAGTAAACTTTTTCTACTTTTTCTTTCTGTGAGAAGGGTGGTCCAAGTGATCGTCAGGGAGAGTTCTGAACCAGTATAATTACTAATTGTAAAATATTATTTAAATTGATACAAATAGGTATACTGATTGCAATCTAATTATATATTGGTTGGATACTATTTGTCAATCTATTTATTTGCTGATTTTAGACAGATTTTAGCAGAAATTGGTATAAAATTAGTATAAATCAGTATAAAATAGTATATCATAATTGATTTCGATTTGATAATTATAATACTATTAATTTTGATTTAACAATCTAATATTAATTTAATAAATTGGCTAAAATAGTACTGTAATAGTATTTTATTAATAAAAATAGAAGAAAAATAAGAAAAATATATGCTGCTAATATAAATTTTGGTGCTGAACAAGTTTACTTAGAGCTCAAAAGCACAATTAATTAATAAAAGTTTGAGAGATACAAAAGTTTCTGTATTTTTATGTATTTCTTAAAATTTTATTAATGAATTATGACTTTAAGCTCTAAGTAAATTTGTTCAGTACTAAAATCTATATTAGGCTGGTATATATCTTTTTTATTTTTCTTCAATTTTACAAAAAAGATTCTAAATTTGCAATTTTGATAGAAATTTATAATTTTAACTATCTTTACTTCAAAAATAAAGAATAATAAGAAAATATATACTAGTCTAATGTAAAATTTAGTGCTAAACAAGTTTATTTAGAGCTCAAAGATACAATTAATTAATAAAAGTTTGAGAGATGCAGAAGTTTTGTATTTTTATTAATAAAAATATAGAAAATTCAGCATCTCTTAAAATTTTATTAATAAATTATAACTTTAAGCTTTAAGTAAACTTGCTCAGCACTAAAATCTATATTAAAACAGTATATATCTTTCTTATCTTTCTCTATTTTTACAAAAAAAATTCTAAATTTGTAATTTTGATAAAAATTTATAATTTTAACAATCTTTATTTCAAAAATGAAAAAATATATGCTAGCTTGATATATAATTTAATACTAAACATGTTTATTAATAAAATTTTGAGAGATATAGAAGTTTCTGTATTTTTATTAATAGACGATTCTCCAGTCACCTTGACAAAAAATTTTTTTTTTTTATATATAAATTTTATTATAAGTGCAAATGCACAGTGCCTCTATCTAAAACTTTTTTTTATACTAAGTAAATCACTTTTCGGCTTCTAACAAAAGTTGTAGAGCTTATCAAAATGTATTTAATACTGTAAAAATATTGTTACAAAGTAGATTGTAACACAGTGCAATAGTAGTATAGAATAGTTAGTTTATATTTGATAAATTGTATTAATATAGTAATAGTTATTATATATTTATTAACATAGTATTAGTAGCATTTTGTTATTATTACTATTTAGTAGTTATAGAAATATAATTGGCTAGTTATATTTGGCATAGTAATACTATACCTAAAGTAGCACAAGTGCCTCCAAGTGCCTCTGCACAAGTGTCTCCAAATGCCTCTGTACAAATGCCTCCAAGTATCTCTGTACAAGTGTCTCTGAGTGCCTCTACACAAGTGCCTTTATACAAGTGCCTTTGAGTACCTCTACACAAGTGCCTCTAAGTGCCTCTAAGTGCCTCTAAGTGCCTCTAAGTGCCTCTAAGTGCCTCTTACATGGTTTAGCTATCACACCTCTTATATATAGAAAAGTTATAAAAAAAGAGCCTTTTGCTCCTTCTGCTCAAGTTAGAGTTCCTTACCCTCTTATAGAATCTAGTCTTATCTAACTATCCTTATTACCTTTCTTATATTTGTATAATATAATATTCTCTTTTTAAGTTATTCCTATTGTAAAGGATATTACCGTAAACTTGTTATTAATAAATATTATCATCTTTATAAACTGTTATTATCTTGAACTTGCCTTCTGCTGTGAAGTAAAAGTATACACTTCACATCCACCTCGTGGGGTATTACAGAAACATGTATTGTATAAATAAGTGTATATGTAATATATGCGGTTAATTGTATAGTTGTATAATATGAATTATATATATATATTTCACAAATTCTACATTATGCTTTTTTCAATTATCTATTTCACAAGCTATATATATTTATATTAAAATAATTAAACACATACTATTACTATGCATTTTTAATAATTAGGCACTATGATCTAATTCATTTCTTATCTTTTTATTGGCTAATTCTAAAGCCTCTACTTCGGCTTCTTTCCTTCGCAGTTCAACTTCTTTTTCACGAATAGTGATAGCCCGCTCTTTAAGTTGTATTCTTTGTTCTTCAATTTTTAATTCATGCAAATTACTTGACTCTAATTCAATCTTAGACTTTTTATTCAATGTCATTTCCGGTTCTGAATCCGAAAGAACTGTAATTATATCTCGTGTCTTTTTTAATGAATTTTTTTTTGATTGAGACTTGCTAAAATTCGAGGATTTGTTTTTGCTTTCTATTAACAATTTTAATTATAAATTAATAAATTAAATATATTTTTATTTAAATTAAAAAAATGTATATATTTACTTTTACGTGTCATGGCAATTGATTTACGTTTAATTTCTCCATTATCATGGCGTGAAATAGATACATCAAACTTAGTATGTATTTGTATTCGATTAATAGTTATTTCATCTAACTTTTTTCCTCTAAAATTGTTGATTAATATTTAATACTCATATATTGTAACTGCTATATAACACAATTATTTAATAAACTTTAAAAAAACATAAATACTGGTTAATTGCTAAAAGTAATTTTAGTTGTTTTCCGGATCGATTTGCATATGCATGAGCAGCTTCAGCTGCATTTGTATTATTTCCAGTGAGGATCCAAGTAGTATAATTAATTTTTGAACAATTATAATTTAGTGAAGCAATAATATAAGGTGTACGATAGTAATTCACCCATTCTAAAATAAATTGACATAAATTAATAGATTTAATAAATAAAAAATTTATTATTTAATAAAATACCTTGTATATTATTTCCATTCAAATCTAACATTTGATTAAAAACATTATTTACGGATTCTTCACTATCACAGTTAGGAATTGAATACATTAAGTCTTTTGTATACTCTG